CATTCATTTACAGTGGGGCTACTGACACCAGCAGAATTTGGTCAAGAACTTGAGAAAAAGATTTGAGAGGCAATGAAGTGGAAGAGGCAGTGAAGTACACTCGATAGGGAGTCAGGACACGTGGGTGCTATTCCCATCAATATCACTGACCTGCCACTAAGGATTTGTGCTCCATGGCACTTTTGAAAACCCCACCCTCTGTCTATTGGAAGCTTGCCTTCTCCGGTAAGACTGTCAGCTGGTACCAATGTGGTGGTGATGCACTTTGTGATGTAGACAAGGAAGTGAAGCCACTAACAGTCAACATAGTAGGCCATACACTACATGTTGATTTGACTACTTCCAGTCTGGACTGGATTTCAAATGGCAACTTAATGGTGAAAGATTCAGAATCCCTTGAACTACACAGCTACTCACCAGCATCTATCTTTCTTTATTGCATTTATAATTATAAAATGATCAAGGGCACACCTGGTTTACCTAGCTGAGAGCTAGGGCTTGCCTTTACATGGCTCTTGCTTTGGGTCTTTCTCTTGGAGAATTCTGGCCACTGGCCTTCCATCCCCTATTCCAACCCCCTGCTTCTTTAACTGCTGTTCCCTACTGCACTAGATCATTTATCTATGTTCTCCATCAGAGGCCAGTCTCTTACTTTGTCTCTGCCTGTTGAAGAAATATTTTTGTTTTATTCATACAGTGAGATCACAATAGTGCTTAGCACCTTATACAGCACTTTCAATCTTCAAAGTGCTTGACACACATTGACTAATCAATCATCACAACACCCCTCTGAAATATGTTAACAACCATTATTACCCCCAGTATGCAGATGAGGAAAGTGAGGCAGAGGGTTTAGGTGCTCAAGATTACACGAATAGTCAATATCTGAGCTGGATTAGAATTTAAGAGTTCCTAGTTTTCCATCCTATGCTCTAGCCACTACACCTGTCCTCCCCACCTTGCGTAAAAAAGACCATATTATAATGTAGGTAGGGTTTTGTGAAATGTTCAACTGCAAACGTGAACCTACCTGAAATCAGTTAATGGGTTTAGGATCTATTCCTACTCAAGAGCATCACCCAAGTCCATGAACATATGGGATAATTGGGCTAATGCAGTAGTCTGTCCCTTTTCCATTCTTCTTTCTTGGGGCCTTGTCTGCAAAGAGCACTGGGTGGTGTTATCCCCACCTCACACATTTAGGGGTGGATACCATGCAAAGCTCCTTGCTTCTTAATCCTGAATGATCTTTGGGAAAGCCTGTGGCTGCCAATGTTATGGTGCAGTTAAGAAAAATCAGTCTCAGTACTCTAAGGACGACCATAGCATAGGACTATAATACCCTCTAGTCCACAACTGATCTGACTCCTGTGGGCTGACAGCCCCTAGCCTTCTTCACATACATTTCACCTGACCCAGGGTGTCGCATACCACGGTAATATGGGAATATGACTCTAGATATGGATTGAGTTGTGCCAGCGTTTACACAAAAAATCGTAGTGATGTCTGTCTAAATCTTATAACTACTATCCTTCATCCTCTCCTCCTGCTTCTCACTGGAGAAGCACAGTGGGACTTTCCCCCCCCCCACCCCCACTTAGGGCCTGATTCTACACCATTTGTGTCGGTGAGAATTTGGCTATTGGCTTCCCTGGGAACTCAATTAGGCTAAGGCTCCTCATATCTCCACTACTTTCTTTTGGCTTGGCTTTTCATTTAATTCATGCAGTGGCAAGGTATTTCAATGCTGATGAGACAACACTAACCAGTGATTTTGGAGTTCTGTTTGGGTATTTGTCAAACACAACTTTTTAAGTTACCATGCCAATAAGGTTACTCACCCTCTAGGGCTACCATGTTTGCTGTTCTCACAGGTACCCAAACAAACACACCCATACCTGACCATCTTCCCATACAGCATTACAAACTAGCAGTGTTCAGCATGATTTTCTACAGCCCCAGGGCCCTGCTTTATCCTACATCGTCTTACACCCTCCTGTCAATTGCACTTCCTGATGCAATCCTGCCTTCCCACTCCATCAATGTATAAAGTACACTAGTTAACAGCAGCTGATGCCTGCTTACACTCTTTCCTCCCTCGCCTCTGAATTTGGCTCATAGTCTCTAAAATCTCCCTCTAATTACAAGATATTTTTACTATGTCATTTTAAAAAAAAGGTTGAATGAAGTTTCTAACATATAAAGAGTTTCACATGGAACATACCAGAGGACCGAAAAGAGATGGACTATAACTCTATAAGGCCTGATCCAAGAACCAACAGAACTGAATGGAATAATACTTTAACAAGCTTTGTATCAGAGCCACAGAAAGCAATGGTACCATCTAACCCTTTCCCTTTCATAAGTGAGGGAATGCTTGGTAATATCAGATGACAATATCTGCAACAAAGTTGCGAAGTTCATTTCCCCACTTGCAGGGTGTGATGCAATATGCAGTTAACTGCTCTTAGGAACTCTGGGCCTGATCCTGTTCCCCTTGATGTCCATGAGAGTTTTGCCATTCAATGAGAGCAGGACCCAGCCCTCTCATTTATAATTATACCATCATAATAGAGTATTGTGGCACACCAGTGCTTCCCCCCGCCCCAACTGGTCAGTTTAAAGGGAAGATTAATATGGAGTGAAGGCTATTACTAGGGTAGCGAGGGGCGGGGGGGGGGAGCGGGAGGTTCGGGGAGAGCCATAATACACACTATATACTACACTGTTAGCAAAAACTTCTTCTTTTAGTTACTTGAATTTTTTTCCTGTCATCTTTATTCCTTTCTTCTCTCTAGAGTGAAGTGAATCCTTTCTCCACAGTTCTGATCAACCCTGGCTGCAGCTTCTGGAAGTCTCCTTATCTCTATCATCACACCAAGTTCTGCTTTCAGGGCTTATTGTTTTTTTTAATCTGAACTGAGATACTAAAAATCCTTTATAACATTCAAGGTGCCTTTGTGACTGAGTAACCAGCAACATGTCTCATTGGCTTTGCATCCTGATCAATCATAAATCATGTATTACATGTACATTGGGCCATGCAAAAATATTCAGAAGTGCAATTGCTCTGATTTTTTCCCGTAGAAGAAAGAACTCTCAACATGCCATTTAATTAGCTTGTCATTGTGAATCAACATTAAGGGTTTTATTTGCTTATCTAAAATACCTTTTGGTAATGTGTACGATTTTTTTAGGCATCATATCCAACAGAACACAAAAGTATAGTAGAACCTCAGAGTTACAAACATGTTGGGAATGGAGGTTGTTTGTAACTTTGAAATGTTTGTAACAAAACATTATGGTTTTCTTTCAAAAGTTTACAACTAAACATTGATGTAATACAACTTTGAAACTTTACTATGCAGAAGAAAAATGCTGCTTTTAACTATCTGAATTTAAATGATACAAGCACAGAAAGTTTCCTTACCTTGTCAAATCTTTTTTTTTAATTTTCCTTTCTATTTTAACAGTTGACATTTAACACAGTACTGTACTGTAATTGCCTTGTTTTTTGTTTTTGTTTTTGTTTTGTTGTCTCTGCTGCTGCCTGATTGCAGACTTCCGGTTCCAAATGATGTGTATGGTTGACCAGTCAATCCATAACTCTGGGGTTCGTAACTCTGAGGTTCTACTGTAATAGAACAGCTCTTACTTCATTTAAGCAAAGTTAGAGAAGTTCAACCAATATGGACTCAGTTGTCCAAATAGAATGTTCCTGGAAAATAGGTTGAGTAAATTGGCATTGCTCCATTAGCTGTGCCAATTTACACCAGCGTTACAGGCGTTAGAGCAGAGCTTCTTGCAGAAACTCATGAAGCTGCAATGCAATTAAGTATGGGAATAGCAAAGGGGCCCTAAAGGGAATTAGGCCCCTAAATCTCATTGAAATTCAATGAGATTTAGGGGCCTTATTCCTTTCTGATCATTTGAAAAATCACAACTAAGTAAACAGAAATAAAATATCTAAGTATAAAAGAAAACCATTCAGTACCAAAATGCTTCATGTTTGATGGAAGTCATAAATACAATATTTAAATGTAGTCATTGCCCCTATTACTAATATTTGTAGTTAGTTCTGAAAATTAGTAAAACACCACATCACTTGTGTGCACCGAAGTGAACAGGATCTCCACATTAGCAGACAAAACAAAGTTGCATGTGAATTTGGCCATGTCTTTATTTCTCATCTCTTTTCTCCAGGTGCTAATATAGGTCTTATTTGCCGCGTTCAGACACTTAGATTTCTTTGTCAAGTGTCCATTGGGTATTTTTGGAATTGTTGAGAAAAGTAGCTCCATTTAAAGCAAGCAGGGTTTTTTCTTAGTTTGGTTTTGAATTTTTTGCATTTTTTTTATAATTTACAATAAACATAACTACAGCAGACTATTTAATAGTCTCATTAGCAGTATATGGCCTTAGGTTGAAGAGAGGCTAGCTGCCATATTTAAACAAAATAACTCGCCGTGTGAGCAATTTTAAGGACAATGATAATTCACAGTGTAATACAATCATGCACCAAGCTCAAAACAAATGTAAGACTGGCACAAATATTACAGTACAACAAGGCAGAAGTTAAAAGGTATGTACAAGTCTTTTGACAAACATTGGTGCAAGTGCTTTAGACGAGACATTTAAAAGAAACACACTAAAACAACACAGATTAAATTTATCAAATTTTGATAAATTTTAGACAGTAAAAATTACACAAAACATGAAAAAAAAACCAACCAATACATATATAGTTTTACTACATCTATATTACAGAATGAAGGAAATCAGAGACAAAAAAGATTTAGGAATTCACAGCAAAGAAAGTTCTACCAGCCTTGAAAGATAGAATTTCATTGCAAGTGAGAGACACACACGCGCACGCACACGCACAAAAGTAAAAACAAACACAAAAAATCATTTACTGTAACAAATGACAGACACAGAGGTGAGAAACATTTGGCATGTTGCATCACATGAAGTCATTCACGATTGGCTAACGATGGTACCTGGCTGGGTTGGAGATCGCTGGCTTGCCTGAGAGGAGTAACTGATGGAGGAGGCACACCTGATGTGGATGCAGATCGACCTAATCTACAGCTTGCTTTAGGCTCTAGGAAGGGAAAGAAAAGAAGACATATGCCCAATTAATGGGATTGTGGATGTTGGTGCAGTAAATTGAAACTTGAGGTGACATAGAAAACGATAGGTCCTGTAAGCGCCATTTGACCTGCCTGCCAACCTCCCCAGGTCTTTCCCACAGTATGGAATCCAGGAACACATTCCTGGACAATGTTTTGGGCAGTTGACTAAGTCATAAATAAAAGTTATCTTCTAGGCACTAGCCACCAGTATGGCAAGAGAGAGGCCTGGAACTGACTTCTCCCTGCACCTTGCTATCTTAACCTCTTTAATTTCCAGTAGCATCTCTGAGGCTGAAGAGCAGAGCAATGAGCAGCAGAGATAGGAAGCATGTCCAATTTTCCTTCTGCCCTCCACCCATACACTGTGGCAGTCTCAGTGCCCAACTCTCTCACCTGCATAATGTGGCAGTGATTGGTGAGGGGCGATTGAGAGCGGTAACTTGTGGCCCAATACCCTCATTCAGCGGCTGAGTGGGATAGTGGAAGAGGACAAAAAGGTGGTGGGACTGAGAGAAGCTGAGGGAAATCACAAAGAAGACATGGTTCTTGGAGAAGTGGACAAAGATGGGAGAGAGTGATGGGGTAGGTTGGGAAAACAGGAAGTTAGAGATTTTGCAGAATCATGACATCATGATTTGTGATGAAGGCCACAGAGAAATCTGAAAGTAGCTGACAGTGAGTCAAGGTTAGCCGCAAAACACAGAGTAGAGGGAAGAAACTTCAAGTTTTAATAGCATGACACAGGCCTCAGCAATGGAGTCTGTGAAGTTGGTTGCATTGTGTTATCTCCAGTTTGTGTGCTCCCCAAGTAGGAGTGATTAATAGAAGTGTAAGATACCATGAAACGGAATAGAGATCTCAGGCGCCTGAAAAGAACTTTGATGCAGAAGTATTTGATTTCCCTATCCTGGTTTTACCCAGTGACATTTCCTGGAAGATTTCCCACTGAGTTACAATGCAATTTACTGTAATGATCCCAGGATAAATGACCAAGCTAGGAGAAATGTACTACCTAATGGCACTAGTCTGTCCGCAGTTGGTTTAGAACATATTTTCCTGGGAATCTGGTCTGCTCATCTCTGGTTGAGAGAAATGTTGCTCTCTGAAAGAACTGCAGTGTCCATGTCTTCTCCAGGCATTGGTCTGCCTTCATCTAGCTCAGAGGAATATGTTTATTCTGCTCATATGTTATATCCCTTTCAACAACCCTTTATCTGTCTTGTCTATTTAAACTGTAAACACCTCAAGGCAGTGGCTGTCTCTTACTCTGTGTTTGTACAGTGCACAGCACAATGGTGCCGTGATTTTATTTGGGATCCCTATGCTCTGCTGTAATACAAACAATAATAATTAGTCTCCTTACATCTGGCTGAAAATAAGTGTCTTCTGACAGTTTATATCTGCCCAAGTTTAGCTGAAGGCACACAGCTCCTCATGATGATGGTCTATCATGTCTAGCTTTGACGTATATCTTCTCACACATCTTATCTGTCTATGTCTGTCTAAGAGAACTGTGTCTTTTCACGTCTGGGTAAGAACATCTTCCCCCAACGCCATTCTATGTATGCCTGGATGACAAGAGCACACCTCTCCATAGCTTTGGCCTTTAGGGATATGCAGGGTTGCTGGTTGGGTTGCTTTCTCCATTTCATTTTTTGAGCAGGTCAGCAGGCCACCCTCCTTCCATTGCCACCACCCACTTTTACCCACACAACTCCTTCTGGAGTCTCCAGGAGAGCTGGCAGCCTGCACCAGTACATAATCTGATGTTTTGCCTTTCTGGATGAGGACAGTACACTGTTTCGTTGATTAGATCTGTTCTGAAATTATTTGTTGTTATACATCTGAAATCATTTATTTCTTCACACTGTGTGCAAGGCACCCAATTTTTCCTTCACTAGAATATACACTAGCAACTGGAGTTTTCCTATTGATTTCCATGGGAGAAAAATCAGGGCTTATTTTTGTTTTGTTTATCTGTTAAGGACAGATGCTACATTGTCTCTATGCTAAGCAAAATCAGATTCCCATCCAGCATTATCTTGGTTAGCATTGTTGATGTCAAAAACTCCAAGGTATTGTCTGCCATTGCTTCTGAATTGTTTTCTTTGCTTTGAGAAAAATGTCACAATTTCCAATTTGGATATACATGCTGCAATGAGAGCCCATTGTTTCCTTGCCATAGACAATCCTTTCATCTGGGATCAAAGAAATAAAATCCAACCAACTCAGATGAAATATTAGTTTCTTCTTTTATCTCCCTGGCAATACATTCAAGTGTCAGAAACTATTGCAAATTCCAGCATGGTTCTTACTATGGGAAGTTTCCAATCAATGCCTATCTAGGGCCTTGTCTACACTACGAGAGTAGTTCGATTTTACTTGCATCGAATTTTTGTAATCGATATTGCAAAGTCGAACGTGTGTGTCCACACTAAGGACAGTAATTCGACTTTGTGCGTCCACACTAACGGTGATAGCGTCGACATTCGAAGCGGTGCACTGTGGTCAGCTATCCCACAGTTCCCGCAGTCCCCTCTTGCCCATTGGAATTCTGGGTGTAGCCGGCAATGCCTTCTGGGTAACAAAATGAGTCGAGGGTGCTTTTGGGACGCTGCAGTCCACCGTCCCTATCTCCCGGCCTACCTCCCGGAACGCGCCGGCGGGCCCCCGGTTCTGACG